TTCCCCTTAATCTCTTTTTTAAAAAAAAACAAAACTCTTTTATTTGTTGTGGTACTTCAATTGGAAGCAGAGAGGCTAAGGATAAACTGAAAATATACTTCAATACTCCTGTGAAGAGAGTAGAATGTGGTAGTTACATAATCTGTTGTCAACTTGAGACTATTAAGAATGAAGGGATGGAGTTTAGCCTGTCAATCAGTTTGCACCTTGATGACCTCATTTGGAGGCACCACAGAGATAAATAGCTCACTGGAGGCTGGACACTCCCTCCCTCCCTGCGAGACATTCCTGTTGACAAGCCACATGGAGCTATGCTGATGCCAGTCAGAGCCCTGGAGCTGGAGGAGCCACGTGGACACCCACACCTGCGCTAAAATGCTTCCACTGCCATTGGATCCACAAGACTTTCCACCCACTGCCTGTGATCTTCCTGCATTTGGCATCATTTCATGTGTTTAGTGTGTCTGAAGAGGAATTTACAGACTTGGACATATTGGACATATGGGCTAATATCAGACTTATGGACTTGATCTGGACTGAGCTGGGATTTTTTTAAATTTAGAATTACTCTTTATATAAATCTCTTTCCTATACACATGAGTGTCTATGAATTTGTTTCTCTAGTCTACCCAGACTAACACATAGAGGTATCCAAATTTTGGAACATTCTCTAAAATAAATAGATCAATGACAGTTAAGATTTTGAAATTTAAATTTCCTTTCCTTGGAATTATGTTAATACACACAAACACACATATATACTAGTTAAATATGTGTGCTTGCTTTTAAAATATTGATGCCTAAAATTAAGGGCATGATTCAGTTATATATATATGACTGTATGTATGTATATATAGATAGATATATAAAACTGCATATCCATATGTCTGTCTATATTTGCATGCAGGCAGCTGTTTCAAATAAAATAATTTTAGGGTTCAGTTTCTATACATGAGAGTTCTAGGGTTACAACATTTAGAAAGTGAGGCATCATTTTTCTATTTCAACTTTAAGCACTTCACTTCCTCCAGTCATTTTCTTTTGCCTCAAGTCTATTTCACACTAGGCAGCAGTGCATGAATGATACTGGAGTCCCTGGTCACACAGAAGGAACCTTGCAACATGAGAACAACTTTGATCAATCCTAGATAACTACATTTGAAAAATATATAATTAGTCCATAAATTGGCACATGTATTTATGGCGGGGTGGTGGTAAGTTTGATAAAACCTGCCTGCATTCTGAAAATTTATCAACAGCAGGTCAGCATGCCATTTTACATAAATATATTTTATCAATCGTTTTTCTGCTTTAAATTCTATCAGATAGCTTCAACTTTCACTAGAGTGGAGATGGCAGTCAGTGAGTAGCTCGTGAATTCAATTCAATGTTTATAGTTAGCCGGATATTGCATGCACAGTAACTTCTAATACACAGCATGAACACTTCCCGATAAGGGACCCACTTACGAGGTGCTCAGACTTGACACCGTATAACTGGACAGTCTTTGCCACGTTTTTGGACACAGCTAAAGTGAGGTTAACATCCACAGCAGCTATATTCAGTTCACTGGAGAAAACAAAAACAGATTTTAATTCTTAGCAATGCCGTTCATCAACAAAGAAAGGAGCAGTATATACACCCAGTAAGCAAGCAGCATGACCATTCTGTTTATAGAATTCATTGATTGCTTCCAAGAATTGGTAGCATTGTTTCATTCCCCCCTAAATTCAGCATAAGGAAAATGTGCTTTTGAGATGGTTTTGTTAATGACCAGTTTCTCATTAATGAAAGCACACCATGTGTGGGTTTAGGCTGTGATTAGGAGAGTAAATTGTGTACAGAATTTTAAAGTAGCACTCTTTCTAATACTGATAAGTGCAATTAGAAGCACTGCATTCCACAGACATCTGCAAGGAAATGACAGCTCTTGAATGAAAATGATGACCTTGGAGGGACATAGGCTAAAAATATAAATTACACATGATACATAAAGATACTTGGGTTCTGTACAAATGTTGCCATTTCATGCTATTATCTAGAGTAGCTTTTAAAAAACAATTCAAAATAGAAATGAGCCTGGAATCTTATGGGAGCTATTTCTTTCTCATGATTATTTTAAACGTTAGCATTGGATCAGGAGCCCTGGTAGCACTGTGGTCAAGCGCTTGGCTGCGAACAGAAAGGTCTGTGGTTTGTACCCACCAGCTGCTTCGTGGAGAAAGATGGGGGTGTCTACTTCTGTAAAGATCTACAGAGTTGAAAACCCTATAGGACAGTTTTGATCAGACTACCAGGAAAATATTTAACAAATATTATGAAAAGAAGTTCTGGAGTTGGAAATTAAATGAAAATCCATACACAGGTGGCAAAGTAAGAAAAGTAATTTCTGTCTCCAGCGTAACAGAACAAATGTTGGCATGCACCGGGTTCTCTTCGAGAAAAAGGTGAACAAGGTCAAAACAACACCAGTGCATATTGCACTGTGCAAACATGCCCTATCATGCAGCCCTGAGAGGTGGTTTTATTAATCATCAATTCTAATCTGATCTACTCCTGGGGTAGCATGCCTTTTCAGTGTGTAGATTAGAGGAGTATCTGACTATTGCACCCTCAAGATTCACAAAAAATAAGGTAAAGAAATCAAGTTGAATGCAGATATTTTTAACACTGTCATACCAACGGAATAAGAGAGAAATTAAGATAAAAAAATTAAGAGTCAGATTTTGGCAAGTTAAGGAATTGTGGAGAAATTTAGGGTCAAGTTGTTGGACAATTTAAATACCTTACAGGTGTGGAATGTAGTTGAAGATCTGGTTATAAATATTCTATCTGTGGCTTATTATTTGAACCCCGTGTGCCTCAGGAATATATTTGCCGACTTGTAGTCTAAGAGGATCTAAACAATTATATTCTTTAGTCCTATACTGCCCAGGTACTGTTTTCACTCCACACAATGTTCATCTACCTACTATTATAAGACCCTGTTAGACATGACAGAAACCGAGGGAGTTTTGACTGCAAATTCACCTGTTCACTGTAAACAACTGAAGACAACAGGATAGTGACATTTCCTGCAATACCTCTGCAGGATACTTCCGAGTTTTAGGTACTATTACCTTCCCTCAGAAAAACTAAACGTGCACGCATGAGTAGACAAATCAGAACCAGAACCTGTTTTTGCTCTGAAGCACTTCTGGGTTTCAGTTACAAAACATTCACCTCTCTGTTTTCATTTCTTGATTCATAAAAGTATTTCCTTTTTGCCTTTTTGCTTGTGTAATATTAGGAATTTATTAGGGTAGAAAAAGTCAGGTTTATTATGTATCTCTGGTAAAATACAGAATAATTATAAGAAACTATTTTTAGACTTATTTAAATGGTTTTATTAATTGGAATCTCAAGTACTTACTACATGGGCACTCAGTCACTGGAAAAACTCTTGACTTAATTGCAGAGCTAATTACTTGAATAACTCAGGATGAATTAGAAATGTACTGCTACCATCCTTGATTAAAAATTGTGGCAAGCATTGCATGGAATGCCATTAGATATAAAAAAGGTCATACCAAAAAAGAGGGCATACCTTGCTATCGTTTTAATGATTCCATCCAGCTCATCAGAGGAAGGAGGATTACGACCACTGGGAGGAAAAACCAAGTTGATGGGATCAAAGAGTCGAGATAAGGATTTCGATAGATAAGCGCCTTCATATGGTTGTAGTGAGTCTTTCAAAGCCTTTTCTGGGCTGTGGGAACAACATTTGTAAAAAAACAAAACAAAAACAAAAACTCATATAAAACCAGATTCTATTGAATCAGGATATAAATACCCTTTAAAAATGTATCTCTTAAATCATAAGTTTATATTAACAAAAAGTAAGAAAATAATTTGTTTTATAATATATAAATATACTCGCAAATAAATTTCATAATGAAACATATACCTTAATGGTTTTCATTTTTTATTGTGAATTGGGTGAAAGTTTACAGAGCAAGTTGTTTTTCACTCAACAACTCCTCCACATTTTGTCTTATGTCCTTGATTGCAATCTTCACCATGTAATATGGCTTCTTCCATTTCTTCACTGTGTTTCCAGTTTCCACTCCTCTTTCTTTCCTAACCCTTTGGAACTTGGTCCTTGGGCAAGTGCTACCCTTTTGGTCTCAAATGGTGATTATTCTAAGATGGTAGCACCTCCTAAATTATTGTTTCCTGACTCTTGTTTGGGTGAAATTTAGCCATAGGTGAGTTCATGTTCAGACATCAAGGCTGACGAAGGGCCATAGTCTTGGGAATATCAACAGCCTCTACCAGTAAGCCAGGTCTTGTGTAGAGTTTGAGTTGTGTTTCACATTTCTCTCTTACTCCACCAGGACCTTCCAGAGTAGCTGGTCAATGGTGGTTGGGCACCATCTAGTGCTTCTGGTCTCAGAGAAGTGGAGGCCAATGTTTGTGTGACTTACTAGTCTACTAGACTAATTAATGTAACCTTTACTACAAACTACAAAAATACTTCAATTTAAACATAAGTCCTAGTTATGAAAGTCATGTGTGCTAGAGCCTACTATATCAAATCTGTCATTTGAACCTAAAAAGAAAATATAATAAATTCTGATTACTATCACGGACTATGCCTTTGCTTAGCAAGAGAGGCAAGTCTGCAGAGACCTACTCCATTAAGTCAGCATTCTTCCATTTCAACCCACCGCTGCCATCTACCATAAAGTTCACTGTGAGGTATATATCAAAAAACAAACTCACAGCTGTTGAGTCGATGCTGGGGTATACAGATTTACATTATTAACACTCCCACTCCAAAACTATCATTAAGTCACCAATAAGAGAAGAGGTTCTAATATACACATATTATGAATATACATATAGTATACACCCACACCCACACTCATGTATATTTATATCTGTGTGTGTGTGTGTGTGAAAGCTCTGTAAATACATAATTACTCATATTAGGATTCTGAAGGTTTAAAAAAACAACAATATTCTTCACAATCTAAATTCAGCTTACTAAACACTTCCCTCTGTACCCTTCACGATGGTCAATAATTTCCATCGCTGCTCAATTAGTAGCCAAACTATTGGGTCTTATACGATTGACAATTACCCTCAATGTCTTTACCGAGAGCCATTATCTCCATGTGCTCCGTGATCTTAGAAAACTCTCCTCACTATACCCTCATCTACACCTCCTCTAGCAGACATTTGCTATCTCTTGCCCGTCTCTTTTTGACAACACATTCCTTCATCCTGCACTTTCACATATTTGGAAGCTGGCTTTCTTCTTTCTTCGCTCTTTCTAGTCAGCTGACAGGATGGAGAGGTCAGAATGCTTTTGGCTCCTACATCATAATTCCCTAGTAATTCCCAAATACATTTTCTCTCAATAAGTATTTCCCTCAACACATTTACTGAGAACACTATGTACCAGGCACTTGGTTAAGTCCTGGGAAGGCATACATTTAAAATAGCTTATAGTCTAATGAAGAAGTAGATAGGTAAAGTGCCAACTATATTAAGTTTTGTAATAAGTGGCAGTACAATAACCATAACAGGCGCATTGATGAATCAGTAGCTAAGTCAATGCCATGTATTTAAATAACTTTTCTATTCTTGCCCCTGCCATCTATTGGCCTTAAAAAGTCTCTCCCTGAATTAATAAGTACTAACACTTCTTTTTGGTTCTCCACATCTGCGCTAAGTATCCTTGGTGATTACAATGTCAAGTCTACATTTATACTGACCTTTATTTTGGCTTTACTCTTTATCTTCCATATTAGGTACCCCTAAGATTTCCAAGCTTGAAAACAACTTTCTATCTGCCTCAATCCCCGGTCCCTCCTACCCACGCATACAGCCCATGTAGTTGTCCCAGCCATGCGCACCAGAGAAGAAATGCATCTCCGACCTTGATTTTTAAAATTAACTAATTAAATTAAAAGCCCTGCCCTCAGAAAGTCTACATGCTAGTGAAATAAATGAACAACAAAAAAATTAAAAGTTTTAACAAATTAAATATAAAACAGTTGCTTGTATTATGAGAAAAACAAAGCAAAGAAGACAAAAATGTTTCTGATGTATATAGTTTTCTTCTTCCAATCTAATTAGGATTGGGTAAGGGAAGTCACACAGAAAACCTGAAGAAAGAGGGAGTGAAACGTGAATTTTCAAGTGAAGAACTTCCTAGCAAAGAACAAATATAAAGGCCCTGAAGTGAGACCATGCCTGGCAATATTTTCCAAACGGTGGTAAACAGTTAGTGACAGTGTGGCTTCCGCAAAGCAAGGAGTGAGAGATAGAAGAGAGGAAGTAACGAGAAAAAAGGCAGACTACCTACCTGCCACTGGACTTTGTGTCTCAAGAGAGTGGCAGAGTTTATTGTGAAGAGCCTGTTCTTTGACTATACTGCGATCAATCAGATGTGACCCTTTTTTCCCTTTTCATCAGCCCATCTGTTTTTACCTCTCTTTTCCCAGGGTCACCCATTTCAAGGTGCTCTCATTAGCATCCTCATTTGTCTTAAGTCCCCTCCTTTTCAAAGCTCTGAATGTGCAGAGGGGTTAAGTACTGCACTGCTAACGATAAAGATTTGCCTTCCAAATCCACCAGCCAATCTGTGGGGGAAAGATAAGACTGTCTACTCCCAGAAAGATTCATAGTCTTGGAAACCCAAAGGGGCAGTTCTGCTCTATTCTACAGTCACTCTGAGATTCAATAACAGTGGATTTTAGTTTCAAAGCTTTTACTAAGAATATCTTCGTTTTTCTAAGCACTGCATAGAAAATGTAAAATGATTCTATTAAACATTTACGCAAACCCCTTAATTTCCTGAGCGCTAAAGCTCAAGGCAATAACCCAAGGAACTGTTGCCATCCTTCACTCTACGGCCACACTTTACACGAAGACCCAAGTCCTTGGCAGTTTGTTTCTTCAACGTGGCTCGTTGCTCTGGGGTTCGCCCTGTCAATCCATCTGTCTATGGTGACTAATTGAGCTCCAAGGAAGAAATCAGCATTACTCCTTTTTTCATATCAAAACGTTTTGGCGGTGGGGGGGGGGGGAATCTCTCGTTTCCTCATTCTCATTAATCCAATTATAGTAATGTTTTTGTGTATACCAGTCCTCTAACTACTTTCCTTAAGAGATAAATTTGTACCCTTAATCTTCCTCATTCTCCCAACAAAATGTGACATAGTCTCCACCTCTAAATTAAATTAATTCATTCTCTTGGGCTCTATTCTATGTGAACTTACATAATGTCTTACCAGTTTTTAGCCTAGTGGCTACGTATTGGGATGAGATCCACAAGGTTAGCAGTTCAAAAACACCAGGCGCCCCCAGGGAGAAAAACAGGTCTTTCTATCCCATCAAGTATTAGTCTTGGAAACTGCAGGGCCCATTCGACTCTGACCTATAGGGTTGCTATGAGTCAGAACCGGCTTGATGTCAGTGATCTTTTTTAATTTCCTTTGTGGGTTGCAAAGGGCCCTGCCCAATCTACAAGCATGGGAGTGCCTGCCTTGGGCCCAGGATCTCTTTTTAACTTTTGTTTTTAATAGCTTCACTGGCATATACTTCATATATCATACAATTTAATTGCTCAATCATATTAAGAATATTTGTGCAATCATCACGACAATAAATTTCAGAACAATTTCTTCTCATACTTACTGTTGTTAGCTCCTCATTTCCCCCCACCCTCCCCTGTCATGTCCTTAGGTGATTGTCAATCCAGTTACTGTCTCTATATATTTGCCTATCTTGGCTTTCATATACAGAAAATCATACAAAACACAAATAGGAAGCAAGTAAACAAAAAGCTAACAACAATGACTGGACAAAACAAAAAAATCTCCAAAAAAAGAGGAGAAAATATTAAAAACTGAAACAACTTTTAAATGGGTCAAAAGACAGATCAAATTATAAAGTACTGTATTTTAATCAAACTACTTCGGCCATAAGGAGCCCTGGTAGTGTAGAGCTCACGAATGGAGCTGCTAACTGCAAGGTCAGGTGTTTGAAACCATCAGCCACTCTGTGGGGGAAAGATGGGGCTTTCTATTCCTGTAAAGAGGTACAGTGTCAGAAACTCATGGGGCAAAATTCACAGGGGCAGTTCTACACTGTCCTAGAGGGTCCTATGATTTGACCTTGGATCAATGGCAGTGAGTTGATTTTGTTCTTTTTACCCTCTGCCATAATCAACTATACAATTCGCTGTCTGATTACAAAACTATTCACATCCCTGACTAGGGTCAGAGGGAATTCGCTGCAGGCTTTTACAGAGTCCACACATGGATAAGGCTTCCAAGGGTTTATATATGTCTCCGGTTCACTTTAGAGACATTGTTATCATTTTATGATAGAGAACATTATATGAATCATCCCCTGGACCATAAGGTAATTCTAGTGATAGTGTTACTAATTTAGCCAGTATAGGATTTAAAACACTTTTGAGAAACAAATATATAGGCTGGCTTCAGATTTCAATACATCAATAGTTGACTTGTACAAATGTATAACTTGATGTGTTTGGACATTATTTACACAAACAGTGGGGGCTGATAATAGGCAAAACTTTCCATAACACTATTTACCAAGGCAGAAGCATCCTTCCCAGATGAATACATGTCATAAGAGAGCAAGGGGGGCATTAAAGAAATATATGGTGGTCTGGGCCACCTTACATTGTGCACCCTCATTGTGCACTTTTCACTGTGCACATCTTTCATTGTGTACCACTATATCTATATAGTGATGACTTCCAAATATGCATTTGCAGTGCCTGACTCATTTCCAATAGACTTTTAACAATTCTACTTACATCTTCAATATGTTCAAAAGGAAAACTTTAATTAATCGCCACCTCTCTTTAAAAACTGACCCGGGTGGTGCAGTGGTTAAAGCACTCGACTGCTAATGGAAATACAGTAACGAAAACTTTGGCAGGGAAGCAGCTGTGAGGGAGGAAGGCGGGCAGAGCTCCAGTCAGGACTGACAGCCTCAGAAACCCCCACAAAGCAGCTCTAATCTGCCCAACAGGCTTGTTGTGAGTGGAATCAATGCAACAGCGGTAGGTTGTTGCTGTTTTTCTCTGAACAAGAAAATAAAACAAAACAGTGGCCTTCCTTCAATAGCCTTTTAAGAACGTACCCAGTCCTCTCGGTCTCCCTAACCTATCAGCAAGTTCCACTGGCTTGCTATTCAAAAGAGATCTTGAATCTGTCTGACCCAATTGTCAGCATAGCATCGAGTAGTTCAGGGCAGTGTCACCACTTGTCTGTGCCAGCATAATCGATCCCATTATGCTGGGATCCCAATTGATCCCAATCGATCCCTTTTCCTCTCCTGCACTGTCACCCACCTTAGTTGTTCTCATAGAACCAGGATGATCATTTAAAAAATATTTATCAATTTATGTCACTCTTTTATTTAAAAAACAGATGATGTTGGGTGAAGGGAGACAATAGATGGTGTAAGATACAAAATAACAATAATATTATGTAATTGATCAAGGATTCATGAGGGTGGGAAGGTGGGGGAGGGAGGGATAAAAAAAGGAGCTGATCAACACAAGAATACTTTCTTCTAGTAAATTGGCATTCTATGAAACTCACCTTCCTGACACAACCTCTGAAGACAAAGCGGGTGAATAAGCAAATGTGGCGAAGAAAGCTGATGGTGCC